TATGTGTCTGAGGCCGGATTTTAACTCAGGTCCTCCTGACTCCAGGGCTGGTGCTCTATCAGCTGAGCCACCTAGCTTCCCGTGATCTATTGAGGAAGACAGGACAAATATAAAGGGAAGTACATTGATCAAAAACACAAATACATTCTAATCAGAACAGTGCATAAAGACCAGTGGATTCCTGGAGTGAATGGGATACCTGTAGCCAACAGTTAGTCTTGGAAGATCTATTGAAGCAGCAATTTGAAGGAGAGCCCCGATAAGGTTCTTGTTCTTTCCCCTCAGACCAGAAGTCTGATTGTATTTTTCTGTCAGTAGTAAATTCCTGCTTTACAGGAGGTCTCCTGGAAATGACACTGTAAGAATGGGGGAAAAGAGTATTCTGTCATCCTTATCCTTTTCAGAATGTAGGATCTGGTTTTCTCTGATTGCCCTAGATGTTTAGGAGCAGTTTTGACCAACTTGAGCTTGTAAAAAAATGATAGGACTAGATACTTATGTTGATGGCTTCAAACTAAAATGGAAATAATATGACTGATGAGGATGGTAGTGGCGGCAAAAAGACAACCTCCTCAAAAACTGCCTCTTAATGTGGAAGGACCATTACAAGTAAGAAACAGCATGGGCCCATCTGTCCTCATACACTCATGGAGTAGTGGGTCCAGTAGTTTTGTTCCAGGCAACAAAAGGAGGCAGTACAGATGGAAATCCCTTTTAGGGCACAGACTGTGTCACAAACTGGTTCCACATGTAGTCTGGGGCCTCTTAGATCTGGCCCCCATAAGCAGTGGTATTGGTATTCCTACCAGTCAGGTACAGCCATTCCATTCCCGGCTGCTATAGTAAGCCATGCTTGGCCGTCTGAAACGGAGTCACACTGTTTTCTGCTGTTACAATCTAGTCATTCCTTCAATCTTGATCTCCAGTAGGAGTTGCCATGTGATTCAAATCATTTAAAGTTCATTTAAAGTAAAAGCTACCAGTGAGCTGCCAGGTGTGAGAAAGGTCCCAAGCTGTGTATGGTCTTATTCCTGGCTCTTCACAGTCTCAGTTCCAGCTCTGCATGCAGGTGCTCCAATGCAGTGCTGTTCGCAGCAGCCTAGCCCGCAGAACCAAAGCCTTGTTCATTTTCATGATGTCCACTGAGCACAGCCTCCTGCTTCTGTTTCAGCAAATTCTTCTCGAACTATCCTGGATGCAAATGAAGAATTTAAGTCTATGTCAGGAACTATCCAGTTGGGACGAAAGCTCATCACAAAATACAACCGCAGAGAACTGACAGACAAGCTGCTTATTTTTCTTGCTCTCGCTCTCTTTCTGGCTACTGTACTTTATATCCTAAAAAAGAGGCTCTTTCCATTTTTGTAAGATTTATATGACCATCTTTCTTTTTGACAACCAGTTGCGAATCCTCTGTTCCTCTGAGTTCAGCCCAAGCTGCCAGCTCAGACTACAAGGATGTCAGGTTTGTTTATTCAAATTGTTCAGTGTCTCAAATTGAAATGCCCTGGGTTTTGCCAGCAGTCTTCCATAAGGGGTAAGAGAGAAGATTTTAAAGGAAACGTTGGTTGGAAAGCTTACAAAGCCATTGAAATCCTGAGATTCCCAGACCCATGATCTGTTCTGACTAAGCAGTTTAATGAGTACCCAATATATGTTCTGAGGCTACCTTCATGTATTTGACAGACATCTCTACTTCCTTCCCTCCCTCCCACCTTGAATGCCTTGAGTTCTGGATTAGAAAGAAGTAAAAGGAGAGAAAGATGAAATGGGAAAAAAGACCATAGATTTTTATCCATTATTACTTAATACATTTGATAGTATTATTAGAACAAAATGCAATATTGCTAGATAAAATGTCAGTACAGGATTATACAAACTATTTGTCTTTATGTTGAAATTCTCCTAAGTTCACTTCATGAACTTTTAGAAAGATCCCTTCTTATAGTTGCCATGATGAGCAGTAGACCAGACTAGGCTAGACCAGGGGTATAAAGAACAGATTGATAGTCTGCCCTACTCTATAAACTCATCATCTGAAAGGTTCAAAGCTGAGCATAACCAAGGAGAGCAAGATGGGGCTAGGAAGTCACAGAATATTCATATCCTGCCTGGTCTTGAGTTCTATAAGGAACTGGTGGAGTGGGGGCTGAGTGAGAGCAGGCCTGAAGGTGACAAGGACTTCTTTTCCTGCAGACCTGGCTGGCCTTTTGCTCCCCAATACCAGCTTTCCCCACAGTTTATAGCTGAAGGCTCAGAAGTGAGGCTGAATGGAGCCTGCACACATCCCCCTACCCTGCTGCTGCCATCATCTCTAGGGCTCTATGGCACCCGTAGCATCTCAAAGTAAAAATAACCAAGGGGGCTCACTCAGGAGCAGGCTAAGCCAGGGCAGCAAAAGCACTGTTTAAGTCTGTGAGGTAAGTAAAATATAGCACAATTTTCGCATTAGTGGTTACACAGCATTGTTTGAAGAAGCTGTGAGAAAGTGGTGTTTCTGGAAACCTGGACAAAAATTGTGCAGTGTCATATAAATGTAAGTCATTAGCATCATCATGAGACCCACTTATCAACTCACATGTAGCTTCTATGGTAAAGTCTGTAAAATCATTATTGATAAAATTTGCTTCTGGCTCCATAAGCCACACAGCATGTATTATGAGGGTTACTGTGTCTCAGTCAATTATTTATTGTTCATTCATTATGTTCTAGTGAGAGAGAGAGAAAGAGAACTATTTCTAGAAAATATATGCATATACACAGGCATATACTGCTAACACACACACACACACACACACACACACACACACAATATATATGTACCTGACAGCCTTGCTGGTTAAGCTGACAGGAATGGCTCAGCTCAGGAACAGAGGTTACCTAAGTGGCTGTCAAAAGGAAAAAGATGGCCTTTTAAATCTTACGAAAATGGGGAAAAAGTGTATGTGTAAACCTTTCTGATAGACTATGTGTATGTGTATGTGTATATACACATGTACATATATATTTACATATACCTTTCGTACTTTTACTAGACAGAAAACAGCATAAAGGCATGATTGGTTTTTATGTAATAGTAATTTTTTAAATGATTGAATAAGATATAATACTTAATCCTTCACAGTATGTATGTATATATGTATGTATATAATGTATATATTTTCAGATATATTCTCCACTACAATCTTGTGTCTCATGGCATAGAGTGACCTGGGCCATGCCAGGGGAACACAAACTTTCCTACCAAACTGGAAAGGCTTTGAGTTTGGGTCCAGCCTCACTAAATGGAGAGAGACATTGCTAGGAGGTTGGCCAACAGGTAGTGAATTTTCCTTCCAGCCATAGCAGCTCCTTAAGATCTACTGAGGCATGGAGGGATTGTGATGCATCTGTGTTGCTGAAGAACCCCCTCTTCCCAATATTGATGACATCTCAAAATCCTTGGAGAAATCACATAAGCTTTTTGAGCCTCAATTTCTTCATCTGTAAAATGAGGATAATTATATTTATACTTTCTACCTCACTACAGGGTAGCTGTGAGAAATGAGAATTACCTTCAAGTCCTATGAGAGCACTTATTCTTGAAGTAAATATATATGTGTGTGTGTGTATATACATATATATATATATATAAACCATATATATATATATAAACCATATATATATAAACCATATATATATATATACACACATGGCTTTGTTTTTGTTTTTCTTGTTTTAAAAATGGGAGAGGAAGAGAAAATAAATGCTTGTTAATTGAAATGAAATAAAAGTTTTTAAATGTGCACATAATATAGGAATATAATTTACACATATAATACATACATAATTTTCAGTTTAGAATTGAAGAATAGATGGAGAATTCTCAGTCTGACTCCTGTCATAAATGTAGCAGAAAGACATCAAATAAGGACTTTGTATTCTTAAAGTTTTCTTCCCTACTTAACTGTTGTTAATATCCTAGAGATCTAGAAGTGTTTGTTTCATATTTCCTATTCTGATTCTTTTACATTAGACAAAATGACATTTAGTTTCTTTGGGGACCAGAACTGAACTCTATTTTCAGTAAATGCCACTGATGTTATCATAACTTACACTTTGCACACAGGTTGAGTCAGGGTACCAAATTTAAAATCAGCTTTCCAATTCTGGACAGAGCTAGCCCAATTCCATACACATCCAGTAGAGGGCAATGTTTCATACCCACTTACTCTGCAAGACCATGTAAAGTGAGATATACTACAATCAAGTCTTAGAACTGGAAGGTGTTTAGGGATTGACTAGGCCAACCTCTTCATTTTCCATATGATGTTGTTTAAAGGTTAATATTTAATGGAATATTATTGTGCTATAAGAAATGACACCTATGATGAATACAGAGAAGCATGAAAAGACTTACGTGAACTGATGCAAAGTATAGTCAGGAGAGCCAAGAAAACAAAACTACACAATGATTACAGCAATGGAAATGGGATACTAACCACAAGACAAAAATGAATGTTGCAAAATTACAAACGACAAACTTGGCTTCAAAGAAGTGATATTAGAAGACACCTCCACTTTTTTTCAAGGGGGAAGGCAATTCTAGGAATATTGCATATAATGTCATCTTTTTTCAATGTATTGATCAGTTCTGCTGATTTTTTTTCTTCCTATTTTTTTTTCCTAAACAATTATTATAAAGGATAGCTCTCTGGGAGTGGGGATGGGAGGGATGTAAGGGGAAATTTAAGTAATATAAAAACAAAAGATAATCAGTAAAAATCTATTTTAAAAAGAAAACCTATAGGCTCTCCCCAAAGCTAGTCTTGGAAAAATGTATTGTTCGTCAAAGGTATGCTTAATATCTAATGTGACAAAAGCCTGGTTTCATGAGGAAGATGTAAACAATGTTTCATCATCTTGTTTACTCGGCCAAATTGTATAAAATAATTGGCTACAAAGGGATGTATAACATATTAAAAAATTTTTTCAAGGTGTTAAGATATTATTGTGAGCATTCAACTTTATATATATTTTTATGAATGTATACAGCTCTGATTCTTTTCATCCTTGGAGGAAATTGTTTTGAAAATGACTTTGTTTTTGATAATCGGGCGATGCAATGCAATCATATAGTGTAGTAAACAGTCATAGAATTAAATGTCTGGAACATGTCCCAGGATTTTGCACCGAATTTTTTTGTTGCTAGAGCTACTTAATACCTGTGTGATCTAAGTCAAATCACTTAACCTCTTGGGGCCTCAGTTTCCTCATCTATAAAATGTGGAGGTGGAATTAGTTAATCTCTAAAATCCTTTCTAGCTTTATGATCATAAATCATCCAGGACAATTAAGTACCAAGGGTGTTTTCAAGTTTCTAGAAAAAGGTTTTCCAATATCCAGGAAGCCATTCTTTTTCACCATCATAAAAAAATTTGTCTTAATTGGGAACCTCTGAGATGTATAAGGCACTGTGTGAAGCATATACAAAAATAATACTGAGTCTCTGCCCTCAAGCGCCTGGCCCCCTTTTTTTGTGGAGATGTTCCCTTTTCAGGTGAACCATAAGTCAGGAAATAAACAAATAAATGTTGGGGATGTTGGAAGCACAGTAAAAGTTTCCAGTTGAGAGAGATCACCTTTAGCTGGGTGAGTTGGGAGGTAAGATTCAATCTGATAGTATTTGAGTAAGTGAGAGGAAGGATGTTTCATCTGAGCTATAGGTATGTATTGCTTTAGAGAAAGTCCCTTCACTTCAAGCCTTAGTTTCCCTACCACTTTGGTGAGGTGATATGATAGATAGGAAAGGCCCTGGATTTGGAATCTTAACGCCCTGGGTTCAAAATCCAGTTCAGCCTCTTACTACCCTATGTGACCTTTTGCGAGGTAGTTTTTCTCAGCCTTGATTTTCTCATGTTTACTGTGTAACCAAGAGATTGGACTGGAAGACTCCTAAGGCAGCTTTATATCTGTAGTCAATTATCACATCTGCTTGGTGTGATGGGCAGGGTTCAGGGTAGAGTCTCCTGCCTTACCTCTGACAAAATGGAAACATCATTCCTATTTTCACCTACCTCACAACGATGTTTTAAAGATAATGAGTTTCAATTCATGATACGACAATGTCTGATACCGAAATAAGTTGGCTGTTTAGGGAAAGACTCCTTTTGAGATTAGTAGAATAGTTTTCCTGATTCCCAGTGTCTTAGGATATACAGATAGTTGTATCTTCACACTAGACCTTGCATGGGATTTTATACAGAGCTGCTGATCCTGTGTTTCCTTTCTTAATGTAAGGGCAGTGTAAAAATAGCTGAGGGCTAATCTAAGAGATACTGGGAGCAGAAGTCCCAGCAGTGCTGTAAGGAATGATGGAGTGTAAACTGTCTTCTGTTGGGACTTTCACTGGGTTATCTCTCTGTTGCCCTTTCACCTCCGAATAAAAATGTCCCAATACCAAACCACAACAATTTTTAAAAAAATCTGCGTACTCATCAACTTAAACTCATCCATTCTAAAACTACAGAAATGATACTTAGTCTCTTGGAGAAACTAAATGATTATGTTCTCTCTCTCTTCTGGTTTGTGGCTTGGGAAATTCCCTAACCCTAATGCTTACCCTTCAAAATAGAAGAGAGAAAGAGGGCATAAAGAAGAAGGGGAAGAGGAATACTTTTAGGCTACCAACATTTTTGTAACCATGATGTTTAGAGAGTAAAAATTAAATCAATTGAGATAGCTGGTTGTTTGGAATAGGCTCTGGATAGTATTGTTGCCAGAAGTGGTGATATGATAACAATAGTTTCAGATCATAGAGCGGAAGGGACCTTGAAGATCATTTAATACAATCCTCTCATTTTACAGAGGGGAAAACTGAGGCCTGCACGTTGCACAGCTGGTTAGCAGAGGCAAAATTCAAACCCAGGTCTTTGAAATACCAATCCAGCTCTCTTTGCAACAAACCAGGATGATTCCCGTACACATTATAGAAATTGTTATCTTTTCTCCAGGCTTTTGAAAATAAGCAAGTGTTCACCTGCTCCGTGAGCTTCGTAATGACCATTGCGAAGAATTAAAATAAATATCATGTCAATTTGTATGGTTAGCTATTTTATTTTTGAGTCCTGTGCTATGATTTCATGGGTGTTGGACTCATGCAGGTCTTGTAGAGTTGCTTGGGGTCACTAAGAAATTGGTGTTGTGCTCAGGGGCAAACAGCTATCATGGTTCAGAGGTAGGATTTAACCTAAGTCTTTCTGACTACAAAGCTGTCGTCTTCACCCCGGGCTCCCTCTCACCTAGAATATAGTGGCTGCCAAATAGATTTCTGTGTGTTTGGCTGTAACATTACTGCAGTGAATCAAAATTAGTGGTATAGGATGAGAAGTTGGAGGGAGGCAAAAATTGGGTTTATTAAGTCCCTTTGAAAGCCTGAGGCCTGGAGGCAGTGGTATGCTGGTAAATATTTAATAGCTATGGGGGAGGGGATATGTGTGTGGGGGTGTAACAAGATACACTTTTAAGTTTAATCTGCATTATTAACATTTTCTCCATTTTTTTAAAGTCTAGAGTTTAGACAGTCCACTAAACAATGAATCAGGCCCTGATCTGTAGCATTTGCTGATTTCAGTGTCATAAATGTTCAAACTGAAAATTTAACAATCCGTTTTTAGGAGCCAGCCTGAGTTGGCTCTAGCACACTCCTGGCTGGAGGTGGCTTTGGCATCCTATGGGCCCAAGGAATGGGTAAGTGGAAGGCTCAAGGAATACCCTATTAAAGATATACTACTATCCTTACTACAGAGAAATGGGAACACTATGGGTAGCAGTCAAGCAACACCTCAGAGCACATGTCAATTAGTAGGAGATGAATCATGATTTCCCAGTCCCTAGCCTTTGGTCCTTCAACTTACCTGAAGTAACATTTTTACAATTGAGTGATGGGCTTTAGATTAACAGAACAACAACAAACCATAAAAAAAAAGGATAAAATGTGAAGGATGTAAACATGAAAGGACTAATAGGAAGTATTGTAGAGTAAAGAAAGCAAAACTAGAATAAGATACAGAATCATTTCAGTTCTGTAAGGAACAATGATAATAGCAATGAAAAACAGAAGGAAAAGGCATTAGTTGGGATCACAGATGGGATTTTGCTGAAAAATTTTTTCTTAACATAGGTATGCTTATTTGAAAAATTGTAAGTAATCAATAATTTTATATATGATCTTTTTATTTTAATGTTTTTATTGGTAATTACTAAGTTTAGAATTTTTAAAATTTTAAATAAGAAAAAAAGTATGAATGTAAGTAAAGAAAAATGAACTTTTAAATAATAGAGAAAGGTATAGGCATTTATTTAGATTGTACTTAGTCTCATAACTAACATTTCCAAATTGACAAATGACATTGGTGGTACATGGAAAATTCCTAAAATGGTCTTGCAAAATAGATTTACTTTGGTCACATGCCAAAAGGATTGTCCAGTCAATGTCAGTCAACAAGTATTTATTGAGCACCTATTATAGCATCGTCCAGAGTGGGGAGGATAAGCCTAGCGACTTGTGCTACTCTTGCAGGGGGAAGCTAAGTCAGAAAGACATACACAGAGATGGGAATTTGCAGGGCATGAAACTGTCCAGGATGTGTGT